GTTTCCCTCAATGATACGCTGATTACACCTAGCGAAAACAGTTATCATTATAGATCATATCTTGAGGCCACCCTGAATTATGGTGAAGACGCCAAGAAAGGCCCTCTCTCTGCTGCCATGTACCTCAGCGATACCGCGGGTTTTATGGATGACACCCAAGAGCTTGGTAATAAAGGCCTAAAAATAAGGCGACAGCTAGCCAGCAATAGCCAAGAAATTGATATGATGGGACGCTTACACGCCGACATTTTCGCCCAAGACCGCTACCTCTTAAATGGCGTAGATGTCAAGATCAAACTTACACCTTCTAAAGACGTCTTCAATCTTATAGCTCATGATGGTACGGTTGGTTACAAGTCTATTATAACACACGCTACCTTGATGGTTAGAAAAGCCAAATTAAATCCAGCCATCTCTCTAGCCCATGAGAAAGCCTTAACCAAGACCAATGCCAAATATCCGTTGAAACGAGTGAATCTGAAAACCATTTCTATCCCCAAAGGAATGTTGTCTCACACCCAGGACAATCTTTTTCTGAGTCAGACACCTACCAGACTAGTGATTGGACTAATTAACTCTGTCGCCTTTAACGGATCCTACAAGACTAACCCGTTCGATTTCCAACACTTCGGATTAACGTATCTAAACGTGAGTGTCGACGGTCGTAGTGTCTCCAGTAAACCCTTAACACCAGACTATGAGAATAATCGCTACGTGAAAGCGTTTTTCGGCACTATGTTGGCTATGGGCCTGGTGGGTAAAGATGCCGGTAACGATATCGAATACAGACATTATAAGAACGGGTACGCTCTCTACGCCTTTGACCTTTCACCTAGTCTGTTGGATGGGGACCAGTTTGAGATGCCCCGCTCTGGGGCGTTGTCTTTAGAATTTAAGTTCGCCACCTTCACAGCCGAACCATTACAAGCTATAGTCTACGCTGAACAAGACTCTGTACTCGAAATTTCCAAGACACGACAAATACTTTTGGACTACGCCTAAGATCATGAACACACAACAGATACGTCAAATACTCTTTGCTGACCACATTGTCCGCCGAACACATCTAGTAGACGTATTGGCCCGTGATCAACTACCTATACATTTCAACCGTCACAAGACAGCGGCGTTTGTCATCAATACAGATGGTAGCGACCAGCCGGGTTCACATTGGCTTGGTCTGTACTACGATGGCGTCGGGCGTTTTACCTATTTTGACGCCCTCGGGCTCCCGCCCTTCCACGCCGAAATTATAAGATTCATCGATCGCCACTCGACCAGACCCTTCAGTTACAACTCTCGTACCTTACAAGACTTACAGAGCAGTACTTGTGGACTATACGTTATTTATTTTATTCTGATTAAATGCCGCGGTGGTCGCCTGCGCCGAGTTTTACAGCCGTTTTCGTCTTCATATAGACAATACGTCAACGATCGAATAGTTTGGCGCCTCGTTTCGCCCTTAATCATCAAAACAAGTCCGGACATGTCGAGTTTTTAAACCGGTTCTACAAGCTCACTGTGGGTATATAAACAGCCTGAGCAGCAACCGTCATCTTATTGCCGCCGTTATCCGCTAACCGAAGATGTCTACAGTCCCAACCAGTTGGGTGTATGTGACTAGGAGCGACAGGTGGTGAAACCTTTGGGTGCTGGTTTGAACGCTGTTTCAGTCTCGCTTTATACAGGAACACCCGCACTCCACTTGAGACGTTTCTTTGGTAAAGCAGATCTCAAATTTCCCACCAAAACAGGACTGACACTAAGTCGCCTAGAATTTGAACAACTACTTGAACTAAAGACGGAGATCCTGACAGAGTTTGATCGACTGGAGCTGCTAACCATTCCTTGTTACCCGCCTACACCTAGGATCACAGAACCCTACGCTGACGAGAACAGCCCCAACACGGACGAATATATACCGGATCATGTCATCCGACACATTGAGACTGTCGAGAACAATCGACCTGCTGCCTCTCTAGATGACTCGGTTCCTTGGCCACTTGCAAAGAGAAGATGTCTGCGCCAACTTTTAATTTTATGAATAAAAGAAATATAAAACGCAAAAATATTGTTGTGTTGTTATTTTTGTCTTAGTTATAAAAATGGTGTAGTTGTTATGTATATATCCCCTTATACAGGTACAGCCAGCTATCCACAGCTATCTATTAGTCTCTAATTTACGAAACAGAAAGTAACCAAGAATGGTTTAACGTTACTAAGAAAAAGGACAGTTTACGACGACGCGGATGATGATGATGGCGCCCCAGCCCCACTTTCTCCCTACCATCAAACCACTTTCCTAGGTTTCTGTATCTATCCCCTAAAACGACCCCCGCGGGCGTGCGTGTGTGCGTGCGTACGGACGGGCGGGTGTGCCCCGTTGAGCGACACCAACTGCCGAGTTTTTCCTAAATCGACTGTTCCAGCAGAATAACCACTGAAGCCTACTGACCAATCAGAACCTTCGCCCACTTATTTACAAAGTCAGATAGTCTGCCTAATATGCCCCTTCTCTTCGACTCTCCACAGTATTACCAGACACCCAGCATTCTGTCGTCCTTTTTTACTACAGCTCAAACCATCCATGAGCGGTCGACCTTCGCTCCCATGATACAGATGATGATGATGCCGGCGCCCAAACTGCCCTTTCTAATATATCCCCGGTCACCACGTCGCCTTCCTTGGTTTTCTTTATCGCAAGTCTAAAACGGCTCCCCTCATACAATCACCTATACAGACATCCACATAAACCCGCACCAACTCTATTAGTCGCCCCGGGTCCCCTGCCCCCCGCTGCTCACCTAAATAGTGTTCCTGCCTGCCCCCGTTTTATATAACGCCACCTGTCACCTGCAGTTAGGAAGATTTCCTATACCTTTCCCTAAAACCAATCACTTGTGCTGTTACCAACCGCCCGATCGATATTTACTAAGGACAAAGAGGGCGGGTGCCCCGATCGATATTTACTAAGGATATATAAACCCGCCAGAAAGAACCAATCACTTTTGGCCGCCATCTTTTACTAAGGATAAAGAGAGATCGATTTCTCAAATAATACCTGTATTACGCTACTACACTACTCAGGAGAATAGCTGCTGCTGCTGCTGCTACTACTACTACTACTGCTTTTGCTGCTTCTGCTGCTTTTGCTGATACTACTACTGGTGCTGCGACTACTGTTACTACTACTGCTGCTACTCCTGCTGCTACTACTACTACTAATATACTAATACTAATAATAATGCTGCTGCTGCTTCTACTATTACTACTGCTACTACTACTGCTCTTGCTGCTACTTGTACTAGTACTACTACTGCTGCTGCTACCCCTGCTGCTGCTGCTGCTACTACTATTTCTGCTACTACTATTGCTGCTTCTGCTGCTGCTACTACTACTACTACTACTACTATTACTGCAGCTGTTGCTACTACTGCTACTCCTGCTGCTGCTACTACTGCTATTTTTGCTACTACTACTACTACTACTACTATTCCTGCTACTACAAAAAATAAATAATCCTTACAATCTTTGTTCCTCTCTATGTTTCCTGGCCCTTCTAAACACTGCCTGACCTTTCATTCATACTTTCTCGGACTCTTCTACGTCAGAGGAGTGTCATGTTGTCTTCCCTCCAAAAACATCAGCGCTAATGTCGCGTGTTCTATACTACACGACGATGACGGCTTTCAACGACTCTATAACACGTAGAACTGGCCCTAACGACCAACCCCCCCCCCCCCCTTTTCTTCCCCTCACCCTCGGTCACACGAGAGACTTTACGAAGAAAGTAGTACAACGTGACACCCCCTTTGACCTAGATCAGACTGAGAAAGTGAGTAGATGGGCCGGGAAACGTGAACCGGTCCGAATCTTTATCTTTAAAATGATCGACCATAGCTGGGGGGGGGGGGGGGGGGGGGGGGGGGGACGACGACGACATCTATGTAAAAGAAATAATACAAGCACACATTTTTTTTAAATTTTTCACTGGTTAAAAGTAAAAAGCTGAAATTAACAATAACATTTGTAGCTGTTGGCACTGAGGTAACTCTGTGGCTATCACTTACGCCTGGTTAATATACTGTATATTCAAATCCGGGAAGTTAACCCTGTCAACAGAGGCTCGTAAACATCACAGCTTTGCTGCCAACAGGCGCGAACACAGTTACGTCACTTGGACGAACAAGAGGAAAAAGAAGATATATTCAAATACTCACGGGCCCGGCTCTCTAGCGTAGTTCGTTAAACCTGACATCGCGGTGACCGGGTGACGAACTCCTTGTGGTCCGGGTTCACTCCCGGGGGTAGGCAGAAAAGCCACATTTGTCCCAGGTTTACGGTACCTATCATGCAATCAAGGCCCAAGGGTTGCGATATCCATAGTACCGAGCCAAAGGGTTAACAACTGATGGTTTCTGGATCTTAATATATATATATATATATTAATGGAGGCAAATTGTAAAATTTCATTGGCTGCCAGGTTGCCCAAACCTATAAATAAGTGTAAGAAAATAATCTGGGAAGTAAACTCAACAATAATGATATTGACCACGATTAATTGTGTGTCATTTAGTCCATAAAAGTGTGGGATAGCACCATATGCTCTATCGCCTCTGGTCAGATGCGCTGGATCCTGGTGGCTCACACAAGTTATGTTCCCTGTCTGGGTTTCTGGACCCCATTTCCACTGCCCCCTAACAAGCATGCCGCACAATGCCACTAGTTAGCGGTTTTTTTTTAAAGTCGGAACGCATCTGCCTGAGAGGCGAGGAACACACAGTCTGCTTAGAAATAAGTCAACTCTGTAAATCGCACGTGCATCCAAAACTCAGGTTCTGAAATAAAACCAAAGTCCACAAGTGGATGACCAACCAGATCTCTCCCCACCCCCCACCCCGGAAGTTGAGAAAAAGGAAAAGAAGACACCTTGAGTTTCTTCAAACCTTGAACTGTAAAATAAATATTTGTCTGAAATGGTCCGCTGTACGATCACCCAGGACAAGTGGACAACAACTGGTTTGTGAGTGCGGTCCTGGAGAAGAAGCTGGCGTCTATGCCGGTGACACTGTCCTTCAGCGGCTGTGTCAGCTGTGTCAAGAACTACTACCGTGTGGGAATGGGGGTGATCCTCGGCTGAGCTCCTTCCATGCTGGGCAGTTGCAGTTATGCTTGTGTTACGTTCTGAATAAAGATTGCATTGATCGGGTTTTTGAAATAGTCACATCTCTGTTGTATGTATGCCTGGGAATATGTATATTATGTGTAAATGGTTCACGTATGTATACATGTGCATGTACGAACACACATGCATCTATACATGTGTGTGCTCATATATATATATATATATATATATATATATATATATATATATATATATATATATATATATATATATATATATATTATATGTATATGCAATGGAATGTATACACATGTGTATGTGTAGAGAGTTTGTGGTGTGTACCAACCCTTTAAAAAAACATCGTGCGTTAGTATACATGCATCTCTGTGTATGCATTATGTGTGTATTGTTGACATTTTCCCGTCTTTCCAGTCAATTGTGTTATATCGTGCTATAGTCAGGGCTGTTCAACTGGCAGTTCGAGGACCAAAGATGGCCCTCAGATGCCAAGGAAGTGGCCCGCGAATCCCCCCCCCCCCCCCCCCCCCTTAACTATTGTAATAATGATCATTCTGTGCTGGATCACAGGCCTGTGGCCCAGGACGATCGCACATTTTCAAACATTTTGACAGCTGAATATATTTAGTTGAGTTGTCATGTAGACATGCGAATCACAACCCATGGCGACAGTTTAAGGCCAGGGATGAAGTGCCTAATCTCCGGATCATAAAACCTGGCAAGTTTTCCAGAGACCATGTGTTGTCCATGCAACACGGTTCTCTCTCGGTCTGCCTAGTCTACTTCAAAGAAAAGCTTACACCAATACGATTCGAACAAAGCGTAATTTATGTATATCTTCTTCTTCTTTGCGTTCACCAGCTGTTAACTCTGGTGGAAAGTTCTGTTCCAGAACCTGAGTGTTACGTGTGCATCCGTTTGACAGATCTGACTAATTTGTGTGCAGACTGTTGGTTCCTCGCCTCTCAGGCAGATGCACTCCGACTTCGAAGGAAGCTCCCAATTAGTCGACTCTTACGACCTGCTTTTGAATAGGCAGTGGGTCTATTCTTGTTTACCCTATAATAGGGCCCCAGAACCCGCACGGGGAATTTATGTATATGAATATGTATGTCTGTGTGTATTTACTACTAATAGAAATCGTCAAGAACAAAAAATGTCGAGATCTGTAAAAAGGACATATAGCAAGGCACGTTATCGCGCGTGTGTGTGTGTGCGCGCACGCGGCGTATGTATATGCATGTGCTCGAGATTTTAAAATACAATTTTTGTTTTCTTTGACAGTTTTTAGCAATTATATTACAATATTTATATTACATATTGAAACATTTTTATTAGAGTAAAATTTTATACAAGAATAAAATTGAACTCTGCCATACTTTGTATTTGAATTCTTAAAGATACATCAAATTTATATTTTTATAGTCAAATACAATAAATGATGTATCTGGAATTGTGCTTGTTCGATGGTTTGTGTTGTGAAAATTATGTTTAAAAAAAACTAAATTCTCATTTTGCTTAGAACGCACTACACGACAGTTAAATGAAGTCTTTTTGACTTTTATCGAGGTACTATTCCCACGACAATTTTTCCCAATAATTTAATGGTTTCACCGGGGAAGGCCTTTGACTGATCACTATCCCCCGCACGTATGGCCTCTAACATGACACCCTTAAACTATTGGAAGCACCTGACCGGCTGATATTCAATTATCTGGTAAACTCTAGTCACTACTAAACCCTTTTAGTGCCTATAAAACTGCCTATCAAGGTCCTACATGGTGACGTCAATAATTTATGGTAAGTGGTAAATGCCTTTATACAGTTACTTAGGTCATCCCTAGTCACCTCTATGTTTTTGAAGATGGCGGTCATTTCTTCAAAGCGAGGTTTTAGGTTGTCAGGAACAGAAACTTCACACTCTACTAGGCCAAAGAATGTCCCGTCACGAATTTTTTCTAGAATTATCGCCTCTATAATGGGGTTAAATGGGACAAAACCCGAATGGACACACGTATACACCGATGGATCATTGGAGGGAGCAGGACAAAACGGAGAAGCTGGATGCTGCAGGATGGGACCACAGTAGAAACGTTATGCGCCTCCAGTAGTCTCAATAAACTTCAGAGCAGAGCAGCAAGCAATTTTTGATTCAGCCAAAGTGCTTGAGGAAATAAAAATTAAATACAGCAAAATTGTTTTCCCTTGTGACTGCATGTTAGTCTTCCAGGCGACTCGAGGGATTCATAACACAACATGGGGAGAGAACTGACCCGCCAGCTAAACAGACTCAAGTAAACAATCAAATTGTTCTCCAGTGGATCCCGGCATACAGGGAAATGAGTTAGCAGACTTGAAAAAAAAATGAAACAAAGGAGAAACAACACACCCATTCCTTTTCATTACCAGAAATCAGAACACTAATCAATGGAAAATATAAGGAATTGTGGAGAGAACAAATTTACTGTTAAACTTCCACAAGACCCCATCAACAGAAAGCAACATACAACAATTTTATGTCACTGCAGGCTCAACTACCTCATGCATAAAATGAAGATTGTGTAGTCCCCACAATGTACCTGTCAAACAGGACCACAAACACCTGAGCCCATTCTGCAGACCTGCCCACTCTACCTAAAAAAAAAGTTAATTGCGTATCCTTTACAGGACGTTGCAGAACCAACCCTAACAGCCCCTGGCTGTTGTGTGGTTTCTCTTGGCAAATTTACGTCCAGTAGTTTTGCCATTGCTTGCTGGACGGTCGGCTTTCTTGATACCACTGTCGAAACCAACGCAAGGCGCATTGCCCGCAACTGGGATCGAACCCGGCATCCCGGCATTTCGAAGCGAAGCGTTCGCTTCGACTTAGCCACAGAGCCGACCCACTCTACCTACAACTTCGAAAAGACACCTGGCCTCAGCAAAGTGTGCAGAGCAGGCTATGAGGAACAATAAAGGGCCTGCTACTGACATAGCTAGTTCATAGAGGCAACCCACTTGATGGTCTGATCTAAGCCTACGAAACCGAAACAGCGTGAAAAAGACACATCTGCAGGCAGAGTTAAAAACAGACAGCGGAGGGTAACACCCAGAACAGAAATTGCTTGCTTGAACATGTCTACACCTAAACTATATTATGTAAAAAATAAAAATGTTTTTGAAAGTAGCTATGAAATGAACTACATTTGTTTTATTGTACTAAGCCAGGAAATCTCTGAGAGTGGTCATATGATGATCGACCCAGACTTTTTCAAAGTGAGAACAGTCATCAGCAGAGAAAATATAGTTGTTCAGAGATAAAAACAACTTTGCTTGATGTGGTAAAGTTGTTTCATCTAATCGACACAAATTGGTAAGATACTCGGAAAAGAAGAAACAGCTATCCTTCGAATAACTGGCACAATAACGAATAACGGGCACCGCCGATAGTATCCACCACGCCGCTCACGCGGCGAGGATTGGGGCTAAACTAGATGGCTAGGACTCACGAGCAAAGCTGCAGGAGATGCAGAAGCTGCTACTGGCGGTAGTCGCCGAAAAACCTCAAATTGACACGTGACTGAGGCTCTGTTAGGGTGTTTTTGCGACCGCCATCTTTTGTTCCCGTTATTCTGAGGATAGCCGAAGAAACCTGTTAATGTTAGAAGCATCAAAAGAAGACAAACATTTCGAGTACGAGAAGACCGGATTAAGTAGTTGGAAATATCCAGGAACTTTAATTATGGCGTCGAAATACACATACAATTCAGAGGTCTGGGGGCTGAGTGGTCTCGAGGCATGTCGTCCACCTCGAGTGTGGGAAGTCCCAGGGTTCAGGGACCGGTGAAGGCTGGGATTTTCAAAAAGACCTCTAGTAATTTTCCATTGTCTCTGGGTGGTAAGATCGGACGCCCGTGTGTATTGTTGCGCGGGTAAAAAATCCTTTGGCAGTTGGAAATCAAAAGGAGTAGCCTAACGGCGCTGCCCGGGCAAAATTTTGAGTTAAAAATCTACTTAAAGTATTTTAGGACGCTCGCCTGTGCTACGGCTTGAGTTAGAAGTCGAATGGAACACTTTAGAGTTACTATTCTTGTGCCATGATGCTGGTCCGTTAAAACCATCAAAACCTTCATAGGGCTCGCAATCTACTCATCCATTCCTGTGCAATCCCTTCGATATCATGGTTGGAAACGCTCCCAGCACATTTGGCCTCACCCATCAACGTTCGTTTTAGGGTTTCTAACGGCCATCCTCAGTCCCTTTACGTCCTATTTTAGTGCATGTTAAATGGCGATTATCTGCTCTTCTCTTCTCAGGACATACCCAATATAGCGCCACCTTCTTTGTCTTCAATCTTTTGCTACCAGTGCTGCCCAGACACTTCTCTTGTTTCTTCATTCATCTTGAAGTTTATCCCATATTTTAGGACGAGAATTTGGCATGAGAATGTACCAATATGTCCTGTTGAACCATATACGACACATATAGGCACCTTTAGGTTATGAGGTAACCTGCAGTCCAGTACTCGGGTGGGAGTTGCCCAGGTCTCGTTATTTCTCTCAGCGATTGCAGTTCGTAGGAATAACACCTCTCGGATGGGAGTCCTACATATGCAAATCACGCTCAATATTATAGTATATTGGGGACCCCGACGGTGACGAAGCAACCAGAAGTTCAAACCATGTAGGGAATACGATATGTCTGGACCAGGCCTGCCTCCTATCATGTCTCTAAGTACCTTAAGCTTAATGTGAAGGTCACGGATATATGACAAATTATAACCCAGTTTACAGTGGTGCATTAATTCACATAAAAAGGTCTGTTACGCGTAATTGAGTTACTATTTGTCAGTAATATTATCTACGTTGATTTTTAGACAGACGTTATTTTATTATGCATTAAATCGCGGAAAGGAAATTTTCTTACGGCTGTAAAGTTAAACCAATGAAGTGGGTGAGCTACAGTCAGCGCGGACTGGAGTTTGCGGGCAAACAACAGACGATCAGATGTTGGGAGAAGACACGAACAAGATTGCCTTTCTGGAGACGAAATATTTGTAGCCTGCTCTTTCCTTCCCTGTAAGTTGTCTTGTCTCTCTGAGTTATCACAGGATAGGAAAATTGACGGTGTATTCATTTTGCCTAGAATGTTTTGCTTAAAGAAGAAAAAAAATGGAATTTAAGCGTTGTTTTTGTCTGTTATTTATAAACCTATTTTTGACGTAGAAAGATGGCCGTCTTGTTGTTTCTCCAGAAAGTTAGTGTTGATTTTGTCATTACTGAGGATGGCAGGCATAAGAGCATATTTATTACGGTTTGCGAAGCTGTTGTTTTACTTTTAATTTGTGAACGTGTTGCAATTAAGAGAAAGACCACGAAGACTTTTTTCTTTTGAAAGGTCTCATTCTCTCACTGTTGCATTTTACTTTTAATTTGTGTCACATTGCGTGCTTGATGACAATTGAGAATAATTTCTGTAGATGTGCCAGTCTGGGCTATCTCTTTTGAACAGACTGAAGCTGCCTCTTACTTAATGAACCCAGAAGCAAGCTGCTTACTATGTTTTTGTTTGTTTGTACTTAAATGATTTACATTTATTAACTCTTTAACTTTTTCTGTACTGCTGTAAGAGACAATTTATGGTGCCTTCTGTCACCTTTTATTCATTCATTCATTCAGTAGCATGTCCCTCGTGGAACCTCGCTGCCATAACAACCCTCCGGAAAACCTTCCTATCCTGAGCAAGATGTCCTGCGTCTGATACACCCATCTGGAGATCATCTGCCACATCCTGCACCCATCTTCTCCTTGGCCTTCCTCTTCCTCTCTTCCCAGGCATATACCCCTCCATTATTGTTCTCTCTAGACTTCCATGACGTTTCAAGTGACCAAAATATTTCAATTTTCTTTGTTTTATTGTCTTTACTAGCCAACCCTCTTCAATATTCAGCTCTTGAAGTATGGATGCATTTGTTCTTTTCTTTACCCAAGATATTCTTAGAACCTGTCTGTAACATTTATATTCAAATGCATTTATGCACTGTTCCGCTTGTTTAGTAGATTTTATTTTATTTTATTAGATTTTAAAAATCCAGGATATTTTTTTCCAGAACAATCTTAAAAAAAAAAAAAAAAAAGCACTGCTGGTTATCCTCCGAATAACTGTCCCAAATTATCGAGGCCGCAAATATACCCGCGGTGCTAAGTGGGGCTAAATTAGATGGCTGGGACTCGCAAGCAAAAATAAAATGAAGAAAGCTGCAGGAGATGCAGTAGCTGCTGCTCATAAGTCCCAGTCATCTAGTTTAGCCCCACGGCGTGTGAGATACTCTCGGCGGTGACTTTAACTTGGGGGAAGATTTTCCGTGGTATGCTGTGTAGTCGTCGGAAAGAGGTCCGCAATTTACATGTGACTGAGGCCCTGTTAGGATATATTTTCGGCCTCGATAATTTGGGACCGTTATTTGGAGGATAGCCCCACTGCTTATGGTATAAATGACGTAAAATAATCCTAGGACTGATAACAGTTATACAGCCATCAGAGGTCTAGTCCCTTTCTTTCTTCTACTCAGAGAGTAATTGCAAACTACAGATGCAGAATATTGACAGCAAACAGCACCTGTAAGAATCAGCCACAATTTAGAAACATTTCAAGGCATAAAGAAGCATGTCTGATAAAGACACATACTGTCACCTGATTTGATTTATTTATACCGGAAACATATATGTGCAGAAGATATGCCAGGGATAATGGTTGATGGTCATTAAAACAATAATCTACCTTATGCTAAAGATACTCTCTTGATAGCAACAAGTCAGGATGAACTACAAAAATTGATAAAGTGGTTGAAGAAAGTGAAAGAATGGGTCTGGTTTTGAGTCATGGTAAAATTGGAGAAATAAATGGTCTAATTACACATTTAAAATCCAGGCTATCTTCCAAATAACGGTCCCAAATTATCGAGGCAGAAAATATACCCTAACAGAGCCTCAGTCACGTGTCAATTGCACACTTCCGGAGACTTAAATTGCGCACTTCTGGCGACTTCCACCACCGACGAAAGTATCCCTCACGCCGCTCACGCGGCGTGTATTGGGGCAGCAGCTACCGTATTTTCTGCAGCTGCCTTCATTTTATTTGCTTGTGAGTGCTAGCCATCTAGTTTAGCCCCAATCCACTCGGCGGTGACCGAAGTGCGTAATTGACAGGATATATATATGTTAGGATATATTTTCTGCCTCGATAATTTGAGACCGTTATTTGGAAGATAGCCAAAATCCATGTTATTGTGTGGATAAGAATGGAAGTTTAAGTAGCTAGCCACTTGGGTAACATCAAGGGCAAGAAGTTATTTTACACGACATTGCAGAACCAACTCCAGCACTTTCTGGCTGTTGTGGTTTTTCTAGGCAAATTTACGTCCAGTAGTTTCCCATTGCTTTCTGGGCGGTCGGCTCTCGGTACCACGGTCGAAACTATCGCAAGACAAACCATCTGCAGCAGGGATCAAACCCGGCACCTCGACATTACGAAGTGCGTTTGCAACGCCTAAGCCACAGATGCCGACAGGGCAAGAAGTATTGCAAGATAAAAGATACAGTTAGAAGTCAAAATATACATTTCACAAAATGAGCATGTTATGCAGTAAATCCCTGTCACGTAAGATAAGAATGTTATTCTTGCATGTTGCATAGAACCAGCTTTAACAAATGACTGAATTTTGGAAAATTAGTAAACAGAATTAAAAGTCCTTGTCGCCTTAGAGATGTGATTTTAGAAGAAGGTTTAAGCCTACTGTAGTGAGAAATCTAAATGATTTTGTATGGACTAAGACCTGAAGACAAATTATCACAATCATCAGAAGGAGGCAGTAGAAATTTCTGGCCAATTGAATCAAGCCATGGGGCGTTTTTCACGACTTCAATCGTTTTAGGCAAATAGGGCTAGACAGAATAGTCAGCACTCGATGGGGATGTGGTCAACATCGTAACAGCCATCTCTACTTCCCAGGTCCTTACCCTTTACCTGGTACCCATTTCAGGTCGGGTTAACCTGGTAGCCAAGTTCATTTTTTAATAATGTTCGGCTTCGTTTGGAATCAGACCAACATTATTTGGATCAGCAGGCAAGCGTTCAGTCACTAGACCACAGCAACTCTCATGCAGTGTGATTACCTTTACTTTTTGTTTGATGTTTTTTGTCCTATCCTAAATCATGCACTGTGATCACCTTTGTTTCGCTATTGTATTGGGTATATTAACAAGTAATTTCTTTCCTTTTTTTTAAAAACAGATTTGACATTAACCCCCAGTAGATGAATAATGGCTTCCTCACCCAGCACAGAACAAAGTGAAGATAAGAAAATTGAAGAGGATGAAGGCAAAGATGGAAAAAATTATGAATGTCAAATGATAGATGTGTACAGAGAGAATCCTTTGGACGGCCTGACTTTGAAGAAGGATCCCTGTGAGATCACGAGAAAGAGTATTTTGTCATCAAAGTCTGGGGATGACATTTCAGAGACAAAGTCACAGTCAATTTACATGAACGATGGAGATAATGGTGACTCAGAAATGAAAGATGCTGACGCGAGTGATTCTGTGTGTTTGAATGATGGTTTTGTGACACCATCAGAACATGGTCATGCAAATCATGACAAGAACAGTTTACGGCAAGACATAGAACTGATGGAGACTAAACCCAGTAGCAAAAGTTCGTCACAAATAACTCACGATGATGAGTTGATCAATGGAGAAAATGACCTACAGGATGATAAAGATGAAGTAATGTCTGTTGATAAAGATGAACCCTCTGCCACAGAAGCACACAGTACATTGACATTAAATTCTGGTGCTAATCTGGAAGCGGTCAGTTCCAACGACTTCGGTCATGCTGGATCGCCTGCCACTAAACGAGTGTCGACAGATGATGATGATGACGAGTCTCCGAAACCAAAGCGTCACACCCCAGACAGATCAGGCGAAAAGACAGACAGTGAAGATACAGTGCATAATAAGAAAGATGCAAATGAGGCGAACTCAACAGACCCGGACCAATCAAAAGAGCTGCCAAGTCTTAGTTCAGACAGTGATGATGACGACATCATTTCAACGCCTGCTGGTCAACGGCAACTTTCCAGACGGAGACGCCTTCGACGAAGACGGTATCCGAGACAAAGATTCAGCTCAGATGACTCAGACACCACAGGTGAGGATGACACTAATGATGGAGTGAAAAATACGGATGAAGATGATGATAAAGAGTCAGATGAAGAAGTTCGAAAAGCAATTTCGGAAATTCTGAACAAGCCGTGTCCAAAACCCAACTGGTATGCTGTGCCGGAGTTGAGAAAGCGAGAATATGGTTATGGATCCCACCAGGATTCCAGCAGCTTTGTGTAAGTTGTTGTTCTTCATCCCTTCTCTCTCCTCCCATAACCCGCCATTTTTATTTACTGCTTTCCTTCCTACCTTTGTCTTCCGTCTTTCCCTTCCTCCTTTTTATTCATGACTGTTTGCTCTCAAATATAAAGGGAGGTGGGGGGTGGCACTGGAGACATTTTATAAATCTTATTCTGTATAGAAATTTATATTGTTTGTGCATAAATGGAATTGTTAAACTTTGTGACCTATGTAAAAATATTTACTGAAATTATTTTTAAAGGATATTGTTTTCTAGAAATGGTAATTGGCACCTTTTTCTGTGTCGCTGGGGTGAAATAGTTAAATGCTACTAGCTTTTAAATGAATTTTCAGTGCAGTCAGATTAATTAATTTTTAGCATTGTGTGTTATTTTCTTTTTAAGTATTAAAACTGAGTTCCGCTCTGTGGCTTAGAGGATTATGATATCTTTTCTCAATGCAATCCTTGACATTTACCATGGTTTGATTCCCACGGCTGGCGGCTTTAAAAAAGACCATTCATGGCTTTCAGATAGTGATACGAGAGTTGCACTGTAGAAGAGATTGTGGCCTCACCACATAATATTCTTAAGTAATATTTTATCTGTGTGACTTGTTTATATTGGATAATATTCTGTGGTGAAAGATAAGACTTTGCATTTTGATGCTCAAAACTGGCAGTAAGAGTGTAATACAGCAGGAACAGTTTTCATACCTGTTACGACAGATTCACATTTCACTTCTTGCGTATCTCGCCTCCTAGAACTGTTATCAGTTTGTACCCATATACCTCTTCTGTACTGTATGTTTTTTGGCTTCTGTATATGATGGACCTACCATAAAGGTAATAATTTTTTGTGTTGTATACTGTTTTAAGAAGAAAACAAGAAAGAAATGCAGAGTTATCTGATGGCACATCTTTATTAGTTTGTGGGATAACACTACACCTACAAACTAGCGACAACTTTGATGCAAAAGAAGCATCAGTTGATTGGTTGAATCCTAACATATTCTTTTATGCAGTTAGAAAAGTTGCATTCATTAAACTACAAAGATTTCAACATTTAAAATTATGTTCCTTTAAGTAGGTATAAACAAAAATTCTTCCCCCCCCCCCACCCCAGTATAATTGTTTTATTGTCTGCTCACGTTGTATGCTGAGGAAGACTTTAAATTTACACCTGCAGTATTAACTATATTATTTGTGACTGTAATTTTTGTGAAGCTGACTAGTCCTGCTTCTCATTCGGATTGATATTTTTTTGTATTAATAGATCTAACAGCTACTGTCAATGGCCTTTCTTTATGTTTGGCATTTCACTTATATTTGTGGGAAATATAATGACACTAAACAGATAACAGACAGACCTTCATTTTTTTGTTTCCAGGGAACATGTTCAAGGAAGCCTTCACATGGCCAGGAAGTTGGTGCTGAAGGAGTCCATGAAGGGTCATGAGGGTTGTGTCAATGCCCTCAGTTTCAACCGAATAGGTCAGAACCATATCCATATTATCAGTTCATGAGAACTATTTGTTGTTTCTTTTGTGCACATTTCACTTGCATTAAATATTTTAATTAGGTTATGAGCTTGGGCTGTGATTTCAGTAGTTAAGGCCTTTGGGATGTGTTTAAGGAGATGACAGCTGCCACATGTCCCCATCGTGCGCCACGGAAAATGGCTCATCTTTGTTATCCCTCAACAACGCCACCACTGCGGCAAGGATACCAAAATGTCTGCCACTATCAGTCAGCTGATTAGGCACAAATAACTGTCAGAAGCATTTCCTATGGCACAGCACATAAGTTGTTGAATGTCTGCCTGCAAAAAATCATACAAAATGGCAGAAAGATTCAAATGTGCGTTACAGCTGTCGACTCTCGCCAGAGTATCAGGACCAAAAAGGGGCGGGGGGGGGGGGGGGAGAATAGCCACCCCTGATGCATGCTTTTACCATACAGTCTTGCTAAATTATCCAGAAGAAACATTAATAAAAGTGTCAAACATGCTAAAGGAAAAATAACTACTTGTGTTATCATCGAAAACCGAAGCCCAGAAGTGGATGAACAACCAGAACTTTTCCCCCAGAGTTTACAGCTGGTGAATGTTTAGAAGAAGAAGAAGAAGAAATATTTAACTTTTTGAACAAATTGGATATTAACTCTTTTAATACCAAACAACTCACCATACATTTCTAGGTTACTCTGAAGATAATTTATTCTTACTGTCTTCTATTATAGATAGAAGTTACTTTGACCCTTTTTAATCTGTATTATTAGATTAACTACTCCTGTACTGCAGTGCCACTGTCCTTGTGTGTTAGTCTGTTTTTGCTATTACTTTAAACAGGCTACAAGGAATGTACACATTTTCATAACGAATAAACATTGTTCTTCCCTGAGTTCAGGAACCCTTCTGGCAAGTGGCTCTGATGATCTGAACATCATCTTATGGAACTGGCAGCGAGCCAGACCTTCGCTCATCTACGACAGCGGTCATCGCAGCAATGTCTTTCAGGTTGGTGTCCATTTTGTGTCTGAAAGATCTGAAGGCGCCCCCCCCCCCCCTTCCCCTCACAGTTTGGTTGGTTAATTGTACTGGACAGCAAAATTTGATGAAAGTTATGGAACAGATAAAAATAGCCATTTTATACAGATTTCAAGGTGCTGAGTATGATTATGACAGTGAAAAAAGCAAAATTAGCTAGTTTGTGAGAAATGGGAAGAACAAAATATTTATATATCATTAGAATAATATGTGAGAGTTTGCTTTTTACCAATTATTGCATTGTTTTTTTTGTGTGTGTTAACAGTGCTTCCCTCAGTTGGTGTATGTTTGTATGATGCAGTGAACATAGTTGAGAATATGGATTTCAATATGCTAACACTGGTACTGTAAACTCCTATGGCACTTTCATGTTGCAAAAAAAAAAAAAACAAGAGAGAACACATCCAGTGGTGCCTTTTCATGTATATTAAAGGCTTTAAATAATGCGTCTACCTTCCTTTGCCTTACCATACAAATTAGTTTTGGAAGCCGATGGTGACCTGTACTTCGAATCTGTGACTGCATTAGGATGATATCAGTTCTGGGAATGCCAGTTCTAATATAATATGTCAGTGTCCAGGACCCTGTCTTGTCACTTGATTTTATTTGAAAAATAGTGAAATTTAAGGGGGCCACACGCACACGCATCAGCTCATTAAAATACAGTGTGATATTGAATGTCTAATTTATTGACAGGCTAAGTTCTTTTCAGTAGCTGTGTTTTTTCCCCCTAATATATGCAAGCTTTGTAGTTTATATGTGACCATATCTGAACCTCTGAAAGTTCATGTATATCCTGGTGCAGTGGCCAGTTGAAAAAACTCCATTCACATTCTGAGACTGCAATGCAAACACATAAAGAGGAGAAGAAGGTGTGGGGATGAACTCAGTTTTTGTTTCTCTTTACCAGGCCAAGTTTATGCCCTTCAGTGGAGACTGCCATGTGATCAGCTGTGCCAGAGATGGCCAGGTCCGACTTGCTGAGCTGTCATTAACTGGAGTTTGTAAAACAACACGCAAACTGGCACAGCATAGAGGGGCTGCTCACAAGGTAGTATTTCCCTTGTTCTTTTATCATAGCAAGGTAGCATTTTCTTGTCATCCGATCCTTTGTCATTGAAAAACAGTTTCTCACAAGTTAGTGTTCTCCTAGTTCTTTCATCATTTGCTTTGCATATAGGAGTTTCTCACAAGGTACAGTTGGTCCAGTTTTCTTATCTTTTGTAGTTATAAAGCTCACATGGTAGCATTGCTCAAGTCTCCTCATCCTTGCCTTTCTCTTAGTTAAGCCGCTCACAGAATAGTTACACTTTGATTTCCCTAAATCTTTACATTGCTAATATATTGTTTAGTCAGTTAAGTGTATGGTCTGTGTTTGTTGTCAGATGCAAAGATACTAGGTAACTCTTGCCACTTCTTCTTAGTGTTTATTGGCTGTAAACTACAGTTGTTCATCCTCTTCTAGACCTTAGTCTTGTTCCAGAATTTGAGGTTTACATGCACATCTGCGATGCAAATCTGATTTGTATGCAGACTGTTGATTCCTCGCCTCTCAGGCGGATGCATTTTAACTTCAAAGGAAACACCCCTAATTAGTCAGCTTTTGTGACCTGCTTGGGGATGCTAGTAGTGGGTCTGTTCTATTTTCCCCTCACAATGGGGCCTTAGAAACCGCACGACCTGTAACCTTCAACTAAATGAAGAGGAAATTTTGATCACAGAAATCTAAGACTTAGTTTTTTTTTTTTTTTTTTTTAATTTATTTATTAATTAAATTTTGTTTCTTACATATTTTTTTTAAGAATGAGCAAGGAAGATTTGTAAATTAATGGTGTGTAATGTGAATAAAGATGTTTAAAAGCAAAGATGTCACCATAATTACACTTTATTTTATCTAATACGGTCAAGTCTTTGCCTGCAGAGTGTTAGTTTGCCTACAGAGATAACTGAACAAAGCACATCACTTTGTAGCTTCAGTAAGAATCCTCAGGGGTCTCTGAAACATTTCTCACATGTGAACTGAAAGATAGAGCCCAAAGCCAAACCCACAACTTTCATCTCTAAGGCAGATGGCTAGATCATCTGACCCCAGTGTAGTGTCCATGTTTATGTGTAGTGGCCATGCTTATTGTGTCTGCTATGTGTCGCCTCATTGAATATTTGTGCACACAGGGTAGCTGTTGTAGTCACATGTGGGATGCAGAAGAACCACATGTGGTGATGCACCAGGACAGGGCTGATAATGGTCAAGACCAAATTTCACCTCTTTGTGGTCATCCTAGAAACAGGTTTCCTATAGGAAGCCTGGCTATATATCACTAGGGTTGTTGTTTCTTTGTGTCTGCAAAAAAGTTGGCCAAGTCTGTAAAGCGAATCTTTATGCAGAACTCAGTCTTGAAACAAGACCACAGCCCAGAAGTGGACTTAACAGCCAGGATTTTCCACCAGCATTTACCACTGGTGAATGTGAAAATATCATAAGTGATATGTTACCATGTCCAAGCCAACTAAAATTTGCTCTTTGTGTGTCTGATGTCCTCAGCTGGCCCTAGAGCTGGACTCGCCCAATGTCTTTCTCAGCTGTGGCGAGGATGCTGTAACCTACTTATTTGACCTCAGAGAAGAGAAGCCTCACAAGTTAGTAACTCCCTGTTGACCACCACCACCACCACCACCTTTCTCTCTTCTCTTCTCTTTTTCTTTCTTTCATTCGTTCGTGTGCTCATTCTTTCTTTTGTTCTTTTTCTTTCTTTCTTTTTTTCTTTTTCTGTTTGCTTTAATTCCATTTCATTTCTTTCTCTCTTCTTTGTCTCTATCCTCTCATTCCAAGCTCCATTTGTCTCTTTCATCTGCATTTTTACCTCCACTGTTTTGATATCCCTCATTTTTGTAGTTCCAGCACATTCTGTCTCTCAGATTTGTATCTCTGCTTTTATTACAGGTTACCAATACAGGTTGATAATTGTAAGAACTTGTGTAAGATTTGATAGGTTGCAAGAACAGTGATTGTATAAACCTGATTTAACCTGTATAAACCAGTATTTATATTAATGATTGATGGCTGTATCTAGGATGACCACAGATAGATCTAGAAAGTCCTCGACTGTATAAGTCCTGGTCCTGCTGCAGCCCCATGTGCAGTTCAGCACCTCTGACTTTCATTAGGAGAGACTGATGATTGTCTAGGACAAGTAATTGCCACACCTGGATTTTAAAAATATGTGCCGTCTCCACAGTAGAGGTTGGCTGAATTAGAACCTGTACTTGGGAGAGAGTTTTAAAAAAAACTTTCACCAATTGTAAACTCCTGAGTTTATCCACTTCTGACCTTGTTTCTAAGTTTTGTATTCACAACCGTTTTACAAATCTGGCTGAATTTTGTGCAGACTGTTGGTCTCTCGATTCTCAGGCTTATGTACGCCTACTTTGACTTCGGTATCTAGGATGACCACAGATAGATCTAGAAAGTCCTCGACTGTATTGGTCCTGTTGCAGCCCTATATGCATTTCAGCACCTCTGACTTCCATTAGGAGAGACTGATGATTGTCTAAGACAAGCAGTTGCCACACCTGGATTTTAAAAATATCTGCCGTCGCCACAGTAGAGGTTGGCTGATGTGCACCACTGCAATTTGTGGGAATAGTACATAGAGTGGCCTCAATCTCTTCCACAGTGTGACTCCCGTACCACTGACCAAACACTAAGAGAGCGGTTTTTACAGCTGGGTTAATGAATGAGAACAAATGTTTGTGTGAGATGGGAAAAAAAATCAAATTTGTTTTATTATGAGTCTCACACACAGTCTCCTGTATTTTTTGCAGATTGGTAACAACAAAGGAGAATGATAAAAAAGTACCTTTGTATTCCATACACTCAAATCCTTGTGACTCCAGGCAGTTCTGTGTGGGAGGCAGAGATCACTACATCAGGTAAGTGTGTAGTGGGTGCTCACTACATTTGGTGTGCGTATGTATGTGGGAGTCGCCTCTGTGGCCAAGTCGATAACGCTTCGTAATGTCGGGATGCCGGGTTTGATCCCAGCTGCGGGCCATGCGTCTTGCTTTGGTTTCGACAGTGGTATCAAGAAAGCCGACCATCCAGAAAGCAATGGCAAACTACTGGACATAAATTTGCCTAGAAAAACCACACAACAGCCGGGGCTGTTGGGCTTGGTTCTGCAACGTCCTGTAAAGGATATGCAACTAACCTAACCTATGTATGTAGGAGCATTGTTCACCATGACTGTTATGTTTTTTAATATTTTTTTATGTGTATGTGCATGCGGGAGAGGGGGTGGGGGGCTTAGGCAGAGTTCACAGCATTTGGTATATGTATGTATGTGTGCGTTTGTTGGAGGCAGAGTTCACCATGACTAGTATGTGTGTGTAGGAGCATTGTTCACCGTGTTTAGAATGTATGTGTTTGTGGGAGGCAAAGTTCACTACATCAGACGGGGAGGAAAGAAGTCACTACATCCGGTAAGTGTGTATGTTGGAGGAAAAATTCACTACATCTGTTTTATATGTTTGTGTGTACATGTGAAGAAAAAAAAAGGGGGGGGGGGATTGTTGATTTTATCAGATATGTCAAATGTGGTTATGTGTAATGAGGTGCATATACTCCAATATAAACCACTAGTAAATGGGGGGGGGGGAGGAGAATGGTAGTGTGTCATATGAGTGTGTGTGTGGGAGAAGCCAGATATCACTGCATTATCATCTTCTGTGTTCATCCTTGAAAGGGTAGTTGGCACCTTTTGTAGTGATTTACAGCTAGGCTGCAGTATTTGTGCCTTTTGGCCCAGTGTAACCATTTTCAGCAAATCAATAATTAGTCACCGTTTATGACTTCTTTGTTGGGGGGGGGGGGGGGGGGTGTCAGTCTCCCCTTGCATTCAAAATGGGTGCTAGAGCTGTCATGAAGTAAAGATCACTGCATCAGGCATATGTACTGATGTTTGTGATTAAGATATATATGTGGGGGAAGTAGGTACAGGTCACTAAATAAAATATAAAGACATTTATGTGTGTGAATATTGGGGGTTGCTTTGTGTGCAGGTACGTCAATTGTTCTGACATAATGTAACTTTAAAATGTGTTAAATGCGTGTGTGATATAGTGGAGGGGGATTATTGAGATTATTCTGAAATCAGTCAATCAATCAGTCTAATTTTACACACACTTTTGCATCTTTCAGAGTATATGATAAAAGAAAGATTTCAGAGGTAAGTATTTCAGCTGTATGACAGTTTTTCTGCCTTATGTGCCTCTGGGCGCAGTGAGGATGATTGATTGATGACAGTTTTAAGATTTTTCCTCTGCTTCTCTTTCTTTCTCTCCCTGACTACTGTGAATAAAATAATTCATTAAATGTTTTTTGTTGTTGTTATAAACATTAGGAAACAAATTTAAAAACAATTCCTTTTAATCTTCTTCTTCTTCAGCGTTCCGAGCCCTTGAGGTTCATTGCTACAGATATCACCCTCCACTCATCTCTCTGGTTGGCCTTCTCTTTCCAGTTGGTGACACCAAGTGTTTGCAGGTCTTTCTTGACATTATCTCTCCATGATCTTCTTGGTCTACCTCGTGGTCTGCGACCATTCAACTTCCTCGTGTATACAGTTTTTGCCTCTTTGTCATTTGATATTCTTTCAATATGCCCAAGCCATTTCACTCTATTAGATTTCATGATGCCAGTGAACAATGATGATTTAAACAGTTTAACTGAATTTAAAAAGTGTATTTAAGTTAAGCATCTTCCCAGACAATAGTGTTATATTTTGCTATAGAAAAAAAATGGAAATCACACCACTAGTTGATGGCAAATGTGAATAGCAAGACCCATTCACTCTGCAGTAATTCTGTATATTCCTGAGGAGAAGCTGTGAGATGTCCAGAGCATTAAATTGTACATTTGTGGCGTCATTATTAAAAGACAAATTCATAACATTCTTTTTTCCATGCCAATTTTTTAGTTTTGCTTCCATATTTACACATACTGTGTTATGATTTACTATACCACAGCGAGTAAGATACTTCTTTGAATGCCAAATCCCAGACTTTGACATTAATAGCAACAAATTCAGCACTAGTCTTCAAAATAGATGCCCATAATTAGCAGTATAAATACCATAATTGTCACAGATGACAGTATGGTTCCATTTATGTGAAAGAAAGGAAAATACTTCACTTCATGGTGACATGGGATTGGACATCATCCCCTCTTAACCACAATGCTTTTGGTGTCTTTTCTAATATGGGTCTGCAGCTGACATGTTTCTTAAATGGGGGGGGGGGGGGGGGGGGGGGGGAAGAGGAAAGGAAGACTAAATAGTCCAGTTGAAGGAATTTCTACAAATGTTTTTCCTACTGGAGCACAGGCCATGAACCAACTTATGTCAAACCATCCTATTTTTTTACCAACCTCTGCAACCCCCTCCATCCTCAATTATATAAAAACTGTCTCCTAGTTTTTTAAAAGCCTTTTGTTTAGTAGCCATATTTATTAGGGCAAAAGGACATTCTATTAATACTTTTGGCAGGTGTTCCCAATGTATGTTTTATCCGGCTCCCTAACTATACATTTGTGATTCTGTAACATCCTCTTGTTCCTTTTACTCTCTGCAGGCACAGTTAAGGGATGTAGCAATTTTTAATCATTTTACATATTTTGAGCTTTATACTGTGCGGATGTTTTTTTTTTCATTTGTCTGAGTGACATAATTGCGTTGTGCCAGTTTACAGCATAGCTACAATTTGTGCGCCTTTTGGCCGACATTCTACCTTCTTCAGGCATGTAACCTTCCCTGGCAGTTTTTGGGACATATGCGCTTTTTGGCCGACCTCCGATTTCTCTAGGCATTTAGCCTTCCCTGGCAGTTTTGTAGGACCTGATGTTGCAATATGTATATGGTGTCTTCTTCGTTTACAGGTCTTGTCCCTGAAGAACCCATCCAAAGCAACAGCATTTTATACTGGTCTATTCTCAAGGAAGGGCAAGGACAGATCATGGGCCTCTTCCACTATCCAGGGAGGCTTCCATAAATGCAGAGCCGACGCCGATGCTCTGGTTCTGGGCTCACCCAAGGAATTATCATGTCCAGACTAACTGGTAGAGCACCCAAGGAATTATCATGTCCAGACTAACTGGTAGAGCACCCAATGAATTATCATGTCCAGACTAACTGGTAGAGATCTGTTATTGCATTCTTTGTCTACAAACTTGGTGCTGTATGATATGATGGCTACTGAAGAGTTCTTTTGTACATAACATTTTATGCAGCCTAATAAACACATGTTGATATATTATTCTAGGATATTGATGGAGGAGTTCTGAAAAAGTTCTGTCCAGACCACCTGGTGAGTTGTGTGTTTGATTTTTTTTTCTTCATATACAAGACTTTCCATTTTTAAATTGTTGGCTTGTTTGTTATCTTTCTTCTTCTTCTTCTTCGCGTTCACCAGCTGTACACTCTGGCGGAAAGTTCTGGTTGTTCGTCCACACCTGGACTGCAGTCCTGCTCCAGAACCTGGGTGTTGCATGTGCATCAGTTTTACAGATCTGATTCACTTGAATGCAGACTGTTGGTTCCTTGCCTCTCAGGCAGATGCACTCCGAACTCCGACTTCAAAGGAAGCTACCAATTAGTCGACTCTTACGACATGCTTTTTGGTAGGCAGTGGGTCTATTCTTGTTTTCCCCCCACAATGGGGCCCCGGATCCCACACAGGGAGTTTATCTTTCATCTTAACATAATTTTTTTTTGGTTGGGGGGGGGGGGGGGGGATGTGTTCCAGTGGTTAAGCAGTTTGCTGCACACTCTAAAGGTCACAGGTTTTGTTTTTGGACTGCTGTTGGTTCACAGAGAGCACTGAGAATATTCGTTTTTGTTGTTAAGTCCCATCTGTTCAGATTGTTCACTCTTATGTGACTTGATATCTTGATTAAGTCTCATGTCAGCTACAGACTTTGAGCTCTCCAAGCCATGAGTGTCAGACTTGGGTGCTTAGTCTATCATAGTGAAGAATTGCTATGATTCTTTTGCAGTTTTGCAAATAACCATGGTTATATTCAACAGACCTCATAGCAGCTGAAACCACGGTCATCCTCCTCTTTGTTACTTAGACCAGTCTCTGTCCTCGATGCTCCACATGGCGGCAAGGAGAGATCCTGATCAATGCAAAACAAACCTCTGGCCCTCATTCATCAGCCCCTCTGCTTCCTTATGTACGTTAAAAAGTAAAAGACCTTTTCATATGATGCTAAACCCATATATTTATAGACCAATCAGCACTGGATGCGTGGCTTGGTCAACATCATGCCAGCCACTTTATTTTCTAGGAAATTTCCTGCTAGCCAATTTTAAGGTGGGGCGACTTGGGGGCCTAAAGTTAGCCCCCCTCCCCCAATTAAATCTCCATGTGCGGGTTCAAACCTCCAGATCTTCAGGTTGGCAGGGAAGTGGCTAGCCATAAAAAACCACAGCCTCCTCTACCTTCAAGTGATATATCTTGTTCAATCAGACTGTTACTTTTCCCATTACAGATCAACAGTGAAGTCAAGGCTAATGTCACATGTGCTTGTTACAACTACAATGGAACTGGTGAGTGGAGTAGACCTAGGTGACACAGGTTGAGAGAGAGTATGTTGGTGTTCTTGGTAGAAGAGTATAGAGCTTGTGAGTAGGAATAGTGGTATAGGGTTTGATAGTTGGGATATTAGTATAGTATAGCATTTGTAAGTAGGGGTGGTAATAGAGTGTAGGGTTTGATAGTTGGGATCTTATAGAGTATTGTAGTACAGTATCGGACGTGAGAGTAGAGATAATATAGATAGAATATACATGATACATTTTTTAAAGTAAGTCTCTCTTCTCCCCCCCCCCCCCCCCAAAAAAAAAAAAACCATCGTATATAACAATGATTTTTTGCAGCAAAGTTCCCCTTGTGGGTTCCGGGGCCCTATTATAGGAAAAACAAAAATAGACCCACTGCCTACCCAAAATGTAAGAGTCGACTAATTGGGAGCTTCCTTCAAAGTCGGAGTGCATCTACCTGAGAAGGATGGAACCAGAAGTCTGCATATAAATGAGTCAGATCTATAAAACGGATACACATGCAACACTCAGGTTCTGGAACAGGACTGCAGTCCAGAACAGGACGAACAACCAGAACTTTCCGCCAGAGTTTACAGCTGGTAAACACAAAAAAGAAGAAAATTGCAGCCAAAAAAAAAAAAAGTACCACACATTTACATTATTTCCCAGCATAGTCAGTCACCATTGGCTTTAACACATTTTTGGTATCATAGCACCAGGTTCTTAATTCCAATGTCATAGAAGTCTGCAGCCAGTGTCTTGAACCATTCAATAACACCTGTCTGCAGCTCATTGTCAGACCTCTGGTGTGCTTAGACTTCATTGCTTTCGGTGACCATGCGCTTCACCATTGCATTGACTTGCTTTGATGAGATGTTTTGTGTAGGAAATCCAGGTCTTGTCTCCAGTAACAGTGTGCCCCAAAAATTCATCTCCTTCTTTTTGAAAGTGCTGCAAAAAAAAATGTGGCCCGAAGCTGGGCGTTTCTGCTTCTGTTTATCGGTTAACATTTTCGGTATCCATCTAGCGCACAGTTTTTTTAAATCTAAGGTTTCTTGTCACAATGTTTAAAATCAGTGAATGTGAAACTTTAGAAAATTTGACAAGACTTTGCAAAAATGTGAAACCATTTTCCTGGATTTTTTGGTTCACTTCTTTAACCAGATCATCTGTCATGATTCCCGTGTGGGTTCTGGGACCCTGTTATAGGGAAAACAAGAATAGACCCACTGTCTACCTAAAAGCAGATCGTAAGAGTCGACTAATTGGGAGCTTCCTTTAAAGTCAGAATGCATCTGCCTAAGAGGCAAGGAACCAGCAGTCTGCATACAAATGAGTCAGATCTATAAAACGGATACACATGCAACACTCAGGTTCTGGAACAGGACTGTAGTCCAGAAGTGGATGGACAGCCAGAACTTTCCGCCAGTGTTTACAGCTGGTGAACGCGAAGAAGAAGAAGAAGAAGATCTGTCATGAAACTTGATTGACCACTACGACCGTCATCATGGATATTTGTTCGCCCTACTTTAAACATTTCCTGAACCATACTATCTGTCATAACATGTGAATATTGTTTATTTATTTAGAAATCCTTGGCTCCTATAATGATGAGGATATTTACCTCTTTGACAATACAATGTCTGACGGAGCCAATTATATCCACAAATACACGGGACATCGCAACAATGCAACAGGTGAGACCCGGCTACAAGTTTGCATTTGTCCGAATGTAATTTTTTATTCCTATCATTCGCTGGCTGTAAACTGGCAGAAAGTTCTCCTTTTTCATCCACTTCTGGGCTTCGGTCATATTCCAGGACTTGAGTTTTGTGTGCACATCTATTTAACAGCTCTGGCTTATTTATGTGCAGACTTTTGGTTTCTTATCTCTCAGTAAGATGATCTTCAACTGTGAAGGAAACATTGATTGACCTCAGTTGTCCAATCCCCCTAATGAGGACCCCAGTAAAGTGTTGGGGAGGGGGAGGGGTGTTATAAGGATCTTCTGTGGGCTCTTTTTAGTGTGCTGTTTAAGTTGTTCTGTGTTTCTTGAAGGTTGTTCTTGATGCTATTGTTAGATCTTCCGCTCGCTCTGTGGCCATTATATATATGTACCAGAGGTTTTTCATCAGGTGACCAAACCTGTTTTCTGTTGTTCTTTAATATATTGTATATAAGATATGAGTTGGAGCCGCCATGGTGTTGCAGCTAGATGCTTGCCTGCAGATAGAAAGGTCGTGGGTTAAAGTCCTAGCAAGGCCAGACTTTTTTTTTTACAATTAACTTGGCATCCTGGTAGACACAGCCTTGAGTAAAGTTGTGGGAAGTACCGATTGGTCTAGGCTTATTTTCCTAGTACCCCTGAAGACATGAGAAGGTGTCCTTTACTTTTACTTAGGACAATTAATAAGAGCTGAGAATAGGACAGGAGTCTTTGTTGTAAAGTGGTTGTTGTTGTTGTTGTTATCGATCCAGCGGCGCATGAGCTTTCGCCCTTTGGCCCAATGCCATGTAGTGGAATTTGCATGTTTTCACAAGCTGTTCTTTTTTCCTCCGTACAAGGTGTGTCCCACTTGTCTGGTCTCGGAGGGAGTAGCGTTCTTCTTGTCTCACTGAGTTTTGGGCACTCAAAGAGATGGTGTTCAACCACGTTTCGTAGTAGGGTAGTTACATAGCTGGCACTCTGGGGAGTGTTGTGGCTGTATTCTGTTTAGGTGTCCATTGAGTGGGAGTATGTTGCGTTCTAAGTCTGAAGATGGTGGCCTGGTCCCTTCTTGTTAGATGGTTAATGCTGTCATTAGGATCAGGGCCAGACATATGTCTATAAACCTCTCTTCCAGTGTCTCCCATGGCCCATCTGTTCAACCAAGTCTCTTTGTTTATAGCTCTTATCAGTGTTGTTGCTGTCTGGAGGGTTGTCGCTGTAGGTGGTTGTTCTTGTGTTGCTCCTTTCTTTGCCGATCTGTCAGCTCTGTCATTACCTGGGTGCCGGGAGTGACCTGGAATCCACTGCATCACTATTCTGATGTTGTATGAGGTAATAAGCTGATCGGGCATCCAGGATTATCTTGGCTTATGTCAGTTCTGCAGCGTTCACTGCCCTCCAGAGCTTGAAGGGCAGACATTGAATCTGTGAAGATGACAATATTTTGGACCTTTGAGGGGTTAAACATCCATTACAGTCTTTAGGTGGTATACTGCTGTTTCCAGTGCAATTATTTCAGCTCATAGTTTGAACAGAAATTCCCCGCATGCATCAAAAAATCTCTTCAACAGATATCCATCGGGAGTGAACCTATGTAGATTCCGTAACCTGCTTTAATGGTAGCTTTAAATGCTGATCCATCAGTATAGACATGTATCCATTCTTGGGGGTAAAGAATCAACGGGTCTTTAGTGATGAGTTCATAAGAGCGATTGGGTCGGACTGTTTGGTTTCCTCGCCTACCAATTTAGTTTGGACTTCTGGAGCTTTAAAGCGAGCATGTGGTGGTAGGTTTTTTTGCAACATTCTGAATTCCTTGACGTCTTTCTGGGAGGTGGTATCTGTCCTGAATTTCATTAACACAGTGTAAAAACGATTTGTGCTTTATTCTTTGTTTGGTTCCCAGTTTTCTACAAGATGTCTATTAGGATGGTTACGATTTTTCCTAACGCATCTTTCATAAATTTCTAAAGTGGCTTTTTCTCTCCGCAACCCGAGGGGTTCCACATTTGTATGGATTTGTCACATGCAGCAGTTGGTGTAGACTGCATAGCTCCGCAGATTAATCGTGAGGGCATTATTTTGTACTCTGTCAAGAGTCTCTAGGTTAGTTTTGGAACAAGTTGTAAGCAGTGAGTTGTTGTACTCTATCACAGAGCGAACATATCCTAGGTATAAGCCCCTCAGAGTTTTCCTTGTCTGATCCCCATGATGTACCAGCGAGTCTCTTTAATAACTGTAACCGCCTCAATGCCTTATTCCTGATGTTTTCAATATGGATTCTTGAGGCTGAGCTGCGGGTCAAGTGTGACTCCAAGGTATGTGGGATGGCTCTTCTTTCATCACGTTGGTGTTTGTCTAACCTCAGGTTAATATTCTTCCTTGCTACTTGGTGGCTTTTGGTAAAGATTGTGTAGACCGTCATTTGCACAGTTAATCTTGAGTTTCCATCTTTGGCAGTAATCATGCAGTCTTCTAAGGTCTCCATTCAGTCTTTGGGCTCCACTTTCCACATTTTCATGACTCTGCCATATTGCCTAGGTCATCAGCGTACAAAGGCTTTTTCGGCCTTGATTTGTTCTGGCAGGTCATTGATAAAGATTAGGAATAGTGTACAGCTCAATGATGAGCCTTGTGGCAAGCCTCCTCCAAGACCTTCTTTAGAAGAGATTGCGTTGTGCATCTTAGTCTGGATTGTCTATCTATCAGGAAGTATTTCCCCCAGTTATACAATCTGCCATGTATTCCTATGCTCATCATCTTCATCAGGAGACCTTTTCTCCATACTCTGTCATAGGCCTGCTGGAGGTCGACAAAGACTGCCACTGTGTGTTTCTTATTCTGGAAGCCATCATGTATTCTTTGTGTCAGTCTGAACAGCTGGTCTTCTGTGCAGCTGTTGGTTCTGAAGCCTGCCTGTTCATGGCATAGAACACCAGAACTCTCAAGGAACCAATATAAAGTGGTTAAGTTGTTATGCCTCATGCTCTGAAGGTTGTGTGTTCATGCTGTGGACTGCGTCATTCAGTTGGCGGTACATTTTTGTTTATTTGGCTCCCTGGGAATCGTCGGTGGAGCTGTAAAGTTTGTGTTTTATGGGCCACGCTTGTCAAACGGCCAGCCATTGAGTGGAGATAGACAAGACCATATGGGATAAAACCCAGTGCAGTGAAGTCGTTCCTTTCATCTTGAAACCTTTTAAATAACGTTTATTGTGTTTATTTAAAATGAACAACTCGTGTCATTATTTTCTCTACAGTAAAAGGAGTGAATTTTTATGGCCCTAAGTCGGAGTTTATCATCAGTGGCAGTGATTGTGGTCATGTCTTTTTCTGGGAGAAGCACACAGAGGCAATCATCAACTTTCAAGAGGGCGATGATGCTGGCGTGGTATAAACATTTTGTTTATTTTTTATATTTTCTTTCCAGCGTGAGGATTCCAAGCCACATTTTGTGTGGGGGAGGGGTAGGGTGTTGAAATAGGTTCGCTCCCACTTAATATGTATGTCTGACTAATTAAAGGTCTGCTTAAATTAAAATATCAAAAAAAGGCAATCACCATTTTTAAGCATATAAGACAGCACTCCCCCCTTATCCTGGGCACAGGATGGGGTAAACAATTAAAGAGGATTTCAATGTTTACCAGACAACTATATCAAGCATGCCCGTAGGGATAACCAAAGCCTCCAGAACACCTGCATAGGGAGGAGACCAAGCAAACATATATGATCATATCATCATCAGGTGCCTTGCCGACTGGTGTGGGCGATCATGCCTCTCCAAAATCAGAGATCTCCTGCAACATGTGCTGACACACCTCCATGCCATGCAACAAAACTGTCAGGAATCGTCTCTCGTTGTCTTCCTCTATCCCTGTTTCCACAGATCTTTCCAGTGGTCACAACATGTTACATTTTCCCTCTTCTTGTAACATGGCTGAAAAATGACGACTGTCTCCTTCTGATGTCTGTGATAAGTTGTCTTTTGGCTCCCGCCTCTTTTAAAACCTCAACAACAACAACAGAAGGCAACATGGTATGACATCTGGAATGATTTGTGGAAGGAGCTTTAGATGAAGACAAGCAAAGAAGATCCTTGGCATTTTCTTTTGTTCATAGCACATAAAAATGTAAGCACATAAATTGGTACATTTTGTTGGAGATAGCAAGATGTGGTGCAGAATGACCCCCAAGCTGGTCAGCAAGAGACACCTGATATTGAGCAAAGGATGGGAGATTGTCCCCCATAAGTAGAAGAATTCTAATGTAGGGAAGAATTAACAGCTGATGTAATAATTAAAAAATTAATATATTTCCCTACTCTTTCAAGAGGAAGTGTAGAAGCAGGAAAATACATTTGTATATTTCAATTATTAAATTATTTGTTACTTTAGCATTCTCCACAGGATAAGGGGTTTTGACAGAAATTTTTAGAATGTTGCAAAATACCCTTATGTTATGTTATTACTGTCAACGTCATCCCGTACATTGTGTTCCCAGCCTCCCCTTTTTTCCCCCTCAAATACTGCTGCTGTCCTAAGATACAACCTCTACTGACCTCTGAGAAGCAAGTTATAATGTCTCCTATCTTGACCTTAGAGATGTAGTTGACCTTTGTCTTCACTCCCAGGCCATGAAACAGGACCAGTGTCTGAGACTCATACTCTCCACCTGCCTAATCCATACAGTATTGACTATTTCAGCCCTGTCCATGTTTGTTACCACTTGTTTAGTGCATTACTTTTCAGCTTGTCCACTCATTCATTACCATTCACTCCCTCATGCTAGGGTGTATAGATCTACGTGAGAGAGGTGAAGTGAGGCTTTTGACCCAATCACAATGTAGATAAATTGGTTCGGCCACCTCTGGCAGCAGGAGCATGCAGAATGAAAAATGGAAATATCAAGAGGCAGAGTAAGACCTAGAAGAAGAAAGGGAGTTAAAGGAGTCACTGAAGGCCAAAGACTTTACAATAAAACAGTCTGCCAAGCAACTGCATCTGTTAATTAAACTATGTTGCTTAATGGTACAAAGCAGAAATTGACAAAGGAAGAATTGTGACACCCTGAAGCATATTTATAGGGTCTTATATAATCAGATAAATTTTTTAAAATCTTATATAATCATATAAAACCAAGAGGTTTTGAAAGAGGTGGGAGCCCGAAGACAACTTATTACAGACATCAGAAGAAGACAGTTATAATTTTTCAGCCATATTACAAAAGGGAAAATGTAACATGTTGTGACCACTGGAAAGATCTGTGGAAAGAGGGATAGAGGAAGACAACGAGAGACGATTACTGACAGTCTTGTATCATGCTTGATATAGTTGTCTGGTAAACATTGAAATCCTCTTTAATTGTTTACCCCATCCTGTGCCCAGATAAGAGCCTTGATTAGAGCCTCATGGAATAATATTTGCAGATGGATGTCAATTCTTGCTTCAGCTTTTTATCTCCAGATAAAGCATATGCCTTCGAACAAACCACTTCAAGCTGTCCTCTCTCTTTTGCAGACTGCTGCATCTCCTTCACCTCCCCATATTTTGATTCTTATTCTCTCAAGATTTCTTGTCTTCCAGTTTGGGAAACCATCTGTGTATCTGTTTGTGCACAACCACAGGAATTATCAGAGATTGAATTCCACAGTGATAGGACATAAGCCAGTCCTACAGTTCATTACAGAGCAGCTGATGAGATGGTTTGGTCATCTTGATGAGATGGTTTTGGTCATCTGACGAGAGGGCCCTGGCACCAGCTGCCTCAGAGGGCCATGCTGAAGAAATCTAATGAACACAGAGTAAGGGAAAGACGCACATAAAATGGGGAACGATTGCGCTTTGAAAAAACTTTAAAGGAATTAAAATCAGCTTGATGCAGCATTTTAGAAAAAGAACTTCCTTACCCTCCCCCGTCTTTCTCAGCACTTTAGTGAGGTAACTGGAAGAAGAGAAAACTGTACAATTGCAACATTTTGCTGAGATAATTTGAGATTTTGTTTTGCGTTTAAACAGATTAATGTGCTTGAACCCCACCCTACTCTGCCCGTTCTGGCCACTAGTGGACTTGACCATGATGTCAAGCTGTGGATGCCCTCTAATGAGATGCCAAAGATGGACTTGGATGTGTTGAAGAAGGTAAGGCCCTCTTTTATAATGACACTATGTCTTCATTTGTTATGATAGGCTGGAATTTGTTAGTTTCTCCTCATGTTATTGGGCTTTTCAGGTCCTTCTAAGGGCTCAACCCTTTTTGGGATTCACCATTTGTCATAATTTATTTTGTAGGCTCATCATTTACATCTTTCTTTTTAGATCCAATTATTTATCAATGTTCCTTTAGGCCTCATCACTTATCTTTCCTCTAGGGCTCATTCCTTTATCAGCTCTTCTGTAGTGTTCATCATTTCTCTCCTCTCCTGTTAGATCTTATCACCTATCATCTCTCTTATTAGGGCTCATTTATCAGCTTTCCTGTAGGGTTCATCATTTCTCTCCTCTCCTGTTAGATCTTATCACCTATCATCTCTCTTATTAGGGCTCATTTATCACCTCTACTGTATGGCTGATCCAGAGCTGCTGTGGTGTAGTGGCTAGATGCTCACCTGTGAATCGGAAGATCATAGGTTTGGGTCCTGTGGAGCTGGACTTTTATTTTCCCAGAAATTACCTTGGCTCCCAGGTCGAGCCAGCTCTGAGTGGGTACTTCACGCATTAAATGCCGATTGGTCTATAAAATACAGGTGCCCAGTGTGCTTGAAGGCATGGAAAAGGGTACTTCATGGCTGATCATTTATCATCTGTCCTAGAAAGCTCATAGCTTATCTTCCCTGTATGGCTTTTCATTCATCACCACTACTATTTGACTCGTCATTTTTCATCTCTTCTGTTAGATCTCATCATTTGTATTCTCTCACTTTTAGGGCTGTCTCGCTGTCCTATAAAGCTTATCGTTTATAAAATTCCCTTTAGAACTCATTACTTATCATCTCTCCTGTTAGATCCCTTATCTCCTTGCCATGAGAACTTATTTCCTCTTGTAAGTAAGTAAGTAAAGGAGCCTTTTCCACGCCTTTAGGTATATAGGGCTAGACCTATATTTTTATAGACCGGTTGGCACAAAATGGGTGATGTGGTCGGCATCACACCTATTTCCTCTTGTACTAGAAGCAGATTGCCACCTGATGCTGTCAGTGACAAAGACAGCAGTTACCACTTTGAAGAGACTTTTTGTGTGATTCTGTTTCAGACATTAAAGAGAAATCATAATGAACGGACTTTGGAGAGGGTTTCATCTGAACCTGAGATGATTGGCGGACAGATGTTGTGGTTCATTATGCATCATTTCAGAAACTCGGCCAGAAGACGGGTAATAAATGAATCTGTTGTGTTAGTTCTTCTTCTCTCTGTCCTCCTGAGACTATTTGTGTTCCTTAATAATTTATTTCAAATGTCCTAACAGGACTTATTATGTATCTTTGTCTTCTTTCCCTTTATATTTGTTCAGAACTTCTGATTTCTCATGAATTCTAGTTTTCATTTTAAGAGCAGTATTTTAGATTCACTCTGTTTTTGTATCTCTTACCTTTAAAAATGAAGGGCCATTTCGATACCATTTGCATATCAGACATATTTTGCTTGGCCCATATTCATTTTATATACACAAGTTAGTACTTGATGATTTATGTGTCAGCATCCATGTTCCATCAGTTATTTCATTTTTCTTTTAAAAAAAATAAATTTCAAACTTCTTTTTGGTTACTTTACATCATCTTGAGATTATTGGATATGAATGTATTTATTCTTTGAGTTATTTAATCTTGTAGATATTAAAATTTTTATATATATATATATATAAATATTGATTCTTTTACAGTTATTTTTCATTATCTATGTGATCAGGCTCTATGTTCCATCGGTTGTTTATTTGTTCACAAATGTAACCAAAATTCTTTTTTTTATTTTACCTTATTTTGTAATTATTATTATTAATCTTATATTATTTTTTTAAAATTCATTTTTGACCATTTTTGACATTCACTAAAAACTGATTTCTTTTCTATTTCCCTAATCTTTTGTTTATATATTCCCTGTTCATTATAATTTCTCCACACATTCTCAGCCCTCACAGTGCTTACATTCTCATTCCTCACATTCTCAGCTCTCACAGTGCTTACATTCTCATTCCTCACATTCTCAGCTCTCACAGTGCTTACATTCTCATTCCTCACATTCTCAGCCCTCACAGTGCTTACATTCTCATTCCTCACATTCTCAGCCCTCACAGTGCTTACATTCTCATTCCTCACATTCTTAGCTCTCACAGTGCTTACATTCTCATTCCTCACATTCTCAGCTCTCACAGTGCTTACATTCTCATTCCTCACATTCTCAGCCCTCACAGTGCTTACATTCTCATTCCTCACATTCTCAGCTCTCACAGTGCTTACATTCTCATTCCTCACATTCTCAGCCCTCACAGTGCTTACATTCTCATTCCTCACATTCTCAGCCCTCACAGTGCTTACATTCTCATTCCTCACATTCTCAGCTCTCACAATTCTTACATTCTCAACACTCACAATTTTTACATTCTCAACACTCACATTGTTACTTTCACAACCCTTACATTACTTACCACCTCATGCCCCAGATTTCACACAGCCTCAGTCCTTACATCCTCTCATTTCTCACAGCTCATAATTTCTTATCCCTCATATTCTCAAATCTCGATATTCTTGGCTGTTACATTTCACACATTGTCAATCCTCAAAATTCTTATATTCTCATCCCTCATAGGGCTTATCCCTGACATTATCACTCCTTACGGTTCTCATATTTATTTTATGCCTCACAATTCTGACATTCTGATGCCTCACAGTTCTCATATTCATATATTATTCATCAAAGATATTTCTGTTATAAATTATGTGCTAACAGCTGTTTCTATTTTCTCTTTGTTCTTATTCCAAAACTGGAATAATAAGATGCGAGAGGAAGGTCAGGTTCTGTCAACATCAGACGATGACGAGAATGAGAGCCACTCTGAAGGTTCCGACACTAATGAGATGCAGTGTGCCCAGTCGTAGTGTCAGTCAGTGGGCGTGCCAGCTCAGCATTTTTGTTGCATGGACTTCTTTCAGGAGACGGGTTCTGTCGGGATTGTTTTGATGCCAGCAAAGGTGGCAGTGACATGGTTAATGTATTTCATGGATTACACGAATGGTGATGTGTTTTGTGGACTAAATGGATAATTTATGGATGGTAGAGTGAATGGGCAATGAAGCTATTAATGGATGGTTGAAAGAGTCAGAAATATGTGGTACATGGAAAGTAATCTCTGTAATTGAACACATCAAGAAATTTATCTCCTTCTTTCTCAGAACTGAAGATGGTGACTTCTGGCTTATTCAGGCGTAGAACTTGACTTCATCTCTACTTCATCATAGACCTTGACTTCAGGCTTGCTGCCTCATAGAAATTGACTTTAGGGTTACTGAGTCATAGAACTTGACTTCATACTTACTCAGAGACTGTGCTTCCTGCATTTTTTTTGGTAGCAGAAGTTGATTTTATGCCATCTCTTATCAAGGAGACTTGTTTTCTTAGATGTAAAACATGACTTAAGCCACAAACCTCGACTTTCTGCTTTGTCAGTTGCAGGTTTTCACTCATGCCACAGAAATTGACTTTATTCTTTCCAGGTTAAAGATTTTGATTTTATTCTTCTTAAGACATCAAAGTTGACATCCTTTTTCTTATGTTTATGCAAGTTGTTTATTGTTTTCTCATAGGCATAGTTTGCTGTGTATTTTCTCAGAATATTTCAGTTGTGCTCTCTCCTTCTCATTGCATGAGGTCACTGCTGTTATAGTTCCCAGGAACAAGTCCCAGCTTGTAATGGAGGTCATGTTGAGGACCCTCATGTAATATTGATTATATTGACACTTGAAATGTCCACAGATGACAGATTCACTTTATTGGCACCAGGTTTGCCTGCTTGGCACACAGTTTCATCTGTGTGAGAGATGGAGCTAGCAAGAAGGGAACTTAAGAGATAACATACATACATACATACATACATACATACATACATACATACATACATACATACATACATACATACATACATACATACATACATACATACATACATACATACATACATACATACATACATACATACATGTATGAATCTGCACATTGCTAGATCATTTTCACTAGCTTTCTTTCACTTCGGGGTGGGGGCAAAAGTGCAGTCATGATTTCTTTCTTTGATGTCATGTCTGTAACAAGGGTTATGAATAAGTTTCATAAATCATACATATTAATTTTAATTCAGCTGCAGACGATTTGCCAACAAGCTGCTTAATGTTGATTTTCACTATGGTATGTGCATTGTGTCGTGCAGAAAGTAGTGGAAAACTACTGAATTTGAATTTGTCTAGTGAAACCACACAGCAGCAAGCAGATGCTAGAGCTGGTTTACAACATCCTGAAGAACCTTGTGGTTGTACTTTCTGATATCCACTTCAGAAGTTAGCTAGTCTGAGCTGTGATTCTTTCCTTGGAATTTAGTACTTGGTGGTTGTACTTTCTGATATCCACTTTAGAAGATAGCTAGTCTGAGCTGTGATTATTTCCTTGGAATTCAGTACTTGGTGGTTGTACTTTCTGATATCCACTTCAGAAGTTAGCTAGTCTAAGCTGTGATTCTTTCCTTGGAATTCAGTACTTTATATATATTTTACCTTCTGACATCCATTTTGGTAGAGAGAGGGAGAGAGATAGTTTCACTTGTAATTCCTTCCTTCGACTTGAGTGCTTAGGCTCACCTACTGTACTTCAGTAGAGAGCTAGTTTTAGCTATGATTCCTTCCTTGAACATAAATACTTTGTAGGTTTCACCTTCTGTCATCCACTTAATTAGAGAGAGAGATAGTTTCAGTTGTCTTTTTCTTCTTCGCATTCGTTGGCTGGAAACTGGCAGAAAGTTTTAGTTCTGGACTTGTTTTGTTCTGTTCCAGAACTTGAGTTTTGTGTACGCATCTATTTTACAGATCTGGCTTACTTATATGCAGACTTTTGTGCGTGTCTCTCTCAGGCAGATGCATTCTGACTTTCAAGGAAACCTCTAGTTAGTTTACTCATGCAACATGCTTGTTAGGGAGGCAGTGGGTCTATAATCTTTTTATCCACCCACAACAGAGCCTAGGAAAACTAACAAGGAGTTTTGAGTTCTGAATCCTTCCTTGGTCTTCAATACTTAAGTTCACCTTCTGCCATGTGTTTAAAGAGAGAGGTATGCTGATACTTCCTTCAATTTCAGTGCTGGATAGTTTCACTTTCATCATCTGTTCGAGAGAGAGAGAGAGCATTTTTCAGATATGATTCCTGTTTTGGACATCAGTACGGGGTAAGTTTTACCTTCAGTTGTCCCTTCAAGAGCGAGGAATAGTTTCCATTATGTTTACTTTCTTGAATGTCAGTTCTTATTAATTTTTACTTACCCCACTTCAACTGTTTACTTTTGAGCTGTGATCCTTCCTTGGACACAGGTGCTTGATCACATTTCACCGCCTTCCATCCTCTTTAAGAAAGAGAAAGAGCTAGGTAGCCAGAGGTATGAGGTGACAGCGTACACTTTGTTGGACATCGGTGCTTGATTCATTTCACCAACTAACATCTACACGGAACCCAAAAAAACATGCCGAGATATGGCACATTGAAGCATGTGAGTTCCTGTATGTGTGTGCTCACAGGTTTGTCTGCAGGTGTGTTTGGGGAAAATTGCGTATAAACATGAACTCACCTCACCATGCTTGAGGTCTGCCTTCTCTTCCCTTTCTGTAAATACCACCAGATGTAAATTAAGTCGATTAGTATATGTTTAACATTGTGTTTTTTTGCTTTGCTCAAATACTGCTTTATTCTATCTCATGTCCCTCTTTTTGGGAGAATCTTGTTATTGAAGCATATCGAATAAATGTTTCATATTTTGAGAAATGTTGATCAGTTTTGAAAATTCCAGTTAACTTATGAAGAAAATTATTTCATTTACAAAGATGAATACAGGTGATAAACCACCAAATAGTAGAATGACTTCCTTCCCTTAACTGTTTTAGTGATATTTGCATAAGATTTACTTCTTTTTTTTTTCTCCTATCTGAAATTTACATTGCTGTAATTGAGAGCACATCATAGAGGTGAAATCACCTTCTAGGACTAGATGATCTTTGCCGACAAAATGGGTAGATAATTAGTTATCACTCGAGAATTCAACTGATCTTGATCATCAGAAACAAAGTGAAGGTAGAATTACCATCTGGACCTGGATGTTCTCAGTCAAATCTGAAAGAAGAGTGTCACTTGGGAACTAGACTGATTTCATACCACAGTCAAATCTGAAAGAAGAGTATCACTTGGAAACTAGACTGATTTCATACCACAGTCAAATCTGAAAGAAGTGATCACTTGGGAACTAGACTGATCTCATCCCACAGTCAAATCTGAAAGAAGATTCACACCTAGGAACTAAACTGATCTCATCCCACTGTCAAATCTGAAAGAAGAATAACTTTGAAACTAAACAGGTAAATCTGTGGATAAATTCACTCATGGAGACCAGACACATGTAAAACGTAGGTATATAGTCACGTAATGCAATAAATCTAGAATCACTGACTACGATTGGACACAGATAAATCTAGAGATGGAATTGCTCACTACAAATCGACACAGATAAAGCTAGTGATATAATCACTCACTATAATTAGACACAGATAAATCTAGTGATAGAATGACTCAATGTAAATAGACCTTTTTTTTTCAAATATCCGGAAACCATGAGTTGTTAACCCTTTGGCTCGGTACTATGGATATTGCAATCCTTCGGCCTTGATTCCATGATAAGATACCATAAATCTAGGAGAAATGTGGCTTTTCTGCCTACCCCCGACGTGAAGCTGGACCACAAGGAGTTTGTCACCTGGTCGTTGCGTAGGACTACAAGCAGAAAAATTGAGATAGAATAAAGCAGTAGAGGGGCGAGGATGTGCATGTTCCTATTGTTGCCCATTGTTTGCAGTGATACTGAACATGTAGTATGCTGTTAATCTCCAATGTTTAATATGAATGTATATATCAAATGCTTTATCAGTGCTATGGTGTTTGCCCTGGGCTGGCAGTGTCCTAACCATCCTGGGTGTTTTTTTTTTCCAGGATGAGCCATAGGTTGTCATGTTCCTTGATAGTCAAATTAAACCTTGAATACATTTGAGAGATGGCCTTCTGTTCAGTGGTTGGCATGCATGTTGCTGCTGTTGTCCGGGTCATCAAACTCGACAGGAAGGATCAAAGTGCGACAGAAGTGCAGCCGGATGTACCAGTCACATACCACCAAAAGAAAATCATTAAATTGATCAGGAAACCACCAGCCCCAGCACAAGACAACTATTTTATTATGGACAGACCAGAACAAGTCGTCATCCTCCGCCTTAGAACAGGGCACAACCAATTACGTAACCACATGCACACAAAATTCAAGATAGGTGTATCAGCCATGTGCACCTGTGGAAAGGTGCCCCAGACAGCAGAGCATGTACTCCAGGACTGCACCGAATTTGACATATTAAGGCAAACCTTTTGGCCAGAAAAAACAACAGTGGAACGTAAACTCTATGGACCACTGAATGAACTAACAACAACAGTAAAATTTATACAAGAGACAAAACTGCTGATATAGACAACTTATTTCAGGTGAAGAAGAGAAGAAGAAGGAAGGTTCAGAAAATAATACTTAGACTGTGGATAGGATATTTAAATCTTAAGAGTAATCCTGCAGAAAAAAATTGTCACCTGTGATATTGGCCAGGCAGAAATGGACTCCAAGCATTCTTCTTCGCTTGTCCTTACAGGGGCAGTTGATATATTGTGTTGTGGCTTACAGCTAAGCTAAGGAGTGGGTCAAAGCATCCGAGCAAGAAGCAGATTTGTGTAGGGTTGTAATCACTTTGGGTCGTGAGTGCAGGGACTGGCCAGCTGGTGCTGCATAATCAGAAGTCTTAACAAATGATTCATGACAATTCCT